GTTTATATATATATATATATATACACGTTAACCAACTAATTGCTCTGGTGAGTCATTATCGAAACTGCAGCCGCACAATGCGCTATCTGTATGCTGTCCACCGCGGGATTCGAACCCCGGATTTTAGCGTTGTAAGTCCGTAAACTTACCGCTGACCTACCAGGGAACTCAATTTTGTCTTCGCATAATTTCACTATGACCAACAAAAATATTTGGCTGTTCAACAAATGAAGATGTGCAAAGTGTGAATATACTGTAGACCAAAAATCAAGCATTAAGTTATCTCTTTAAAGTCTCCCGGTGGGACAGCGGTAAGTCTCCGGATTTACAACGCTAAAATCAGGGGTAAAATTCCTTTCGGTGGGCACAGCAGATAGCCTGATGTGGCTTTTCTACAGTACACACACTCTTTTCAAAAATATTTTATGTTAATCAACCTTCTTGCATAATTTGCAAGCAAATGCAAAAAGCAACACAAATTTGCATATATATATATATATTTCTTCGTAGTATTTCAATGATCGAATACTAGTGGTTATTTTTCTAATGCATATTAATGTCGAAAATAAAATTACATTTTTTCAACTAACTCGAATTTGAAATATAACAATGGCTGTCACATATAAAGCCCAGTAACATTCTAACTCGGCGGATAAACTAACAGAGATAACTTAATTATCACAGGAAGGCAATTTTTTTTCACCTAATAATTCTTTATTTATATTTCATGCAAAGAATATTAAGACTAACGAGTTGGATCAAAATAAAACTTGTGTTTGGGTAACTGTAAGAACGAAAGATAGCGAGATATGATTACATGTAACCTCAAAGCAAATCGTTACACAAGAGTAGAAAATAGTAATAACCGTAAAAATATGTTCAAAATATGAGATTATTTGTGTAACTGCGCGTAACGATAGTAAGTAGATTTGATTAAATAAGTAAGTGGTTAGCTTCTAGATAGGTTTATTATATATATAATACTGTACATTTTAATCAGTCCAACACAGGGTACGTAAGATAAGTATACATTTATCGTTATTTTATTGATAACATATATTAACACGTGATATACAGTAGATGCTGTTCACGTATTGTGCGATACACAGTTTTCGATAGATGTTTCAGACTATATCACCACTCAGTTTCTCCTCCGCATCGCTACGTTTTGGTTGTGCATGTGATCCTATATCTATCGCATGGTCAGAATCTTACAGAACCTACTAGTGATAAATGGGTAACGTATTTCCAATTCTACCCTTCTCTTTTAACTATTTTTATTCATCTGTTGATAGTACATATACGCTAACGAATTTTTAAAGTTCTGATAATTCACTATACAGGACGCTCTAAAAACTTTGAAATATGTTACCTTTTTCATGCTGTGGCACGGCTCAGTTGTGTTGTTGTTTGCAACCATTTATTGGTGTTACGGTAAAATAGTGTGATAACGTTTAAGATCTATATTATTTTCATAATATCAAGATGTCTGCTCTAGTTTGGACCTTGGTCAGTGGCCTGTCCCCTCGCCTCTCTTCTACTTCACGTTCTTCTCTTTCTGCACCAATTAATATGAAAATGTTTACTAACTACACACTGATATAAATGTGGATTTCGTATGTATGTATTATTTCTCTTGTAAACGATGCAACCAATATAAGTTTGATTTCTTATATAAGTGTTATTGTGTAGCTGTACTTTTAAATTGATTACTTCGTAATTGATATATTACTGTTCGAGGAGTTAAGGAAGAATAAAATAACTAAAAATAAAATTCAGATACCATTCAGTTGCTTGAAGAGAAGAATTTACTTACATTCCACTTCTCCCTGTAGATAACAAAAACAGGAAATCCATCCAAACAAAATCACTTTTCCGAAGTAATACCGATTCTTATTATGATCAGGCAAGTGAATGCATAAATACACAGAGTTCACTTATTAATAGATTTGGCCTAAATAGTGACATTATCTAAATACTAAAACAGTTTCTCATTAATCATACTTACAAAACACTGTCGAAGTTTATCCCCGAAAATCCCGTACAATATTCTCAAAAAAGCTAAACAAACTGAACGTAAACTGTGTAGGTAAATATACCAATTAACGACATCACGTGACAACCAACGCCTTTGGCCTAACTTGTTGTAACACATAACAACAAGCCCCCCAGTGGCACAGCGGCATATCTGCAGACTTACAACGCTAGAAACCGGGTTTCGATACCCATGGTGGGCAGAGCACAGATAGCCCATTGCGTAGCTTTGTGCTTAACTTGAAACAAACATAACAACAAGTACGATCAGCGATATATTATACTAAAATATACTAAATATCTTTAACTTTAACGACTGTTAACAAATAATAAGTTATATGAAGTGTCACAGGATAATACAATGAAAACGGTTCAGCTGTCGCATCGAACACCTGTAGCTCCATAATGATTGGTACTGCAGTAGCACAGCGGTATGTCTGCGGACTTATAACGCTAAAATCCGGGTTTCGAAACCCGTGGTGGGCAAAGCGCAAATAGCCCATTGTGTAGCTTTGTGCTTAATTACAAACAAACTATAATGATTGAACATATTTTGTAATTAAATGAAAGCAACATAGAACGTTAAGATAAAATTAGATAAAGAATTGTTTTGTTTTTTTTTAACATTGAACACTGGAGTACAGTGCCCTTTGATTTTACTGTTCTTGCCGATGTATGAGAGGTCTCAGTTTCAATTCTAAGTAGCCCTGGCATGGCCACGTGGTTATGGCACTCGAATCGCAATCTGCGGGTTCGAATCCCCGTCCCACCAAACATTCTCGCCCTTTCAGCCGTGGAGGCATTATAATGTGACGGTCATTCCCACTATTCGTTTGTAAAAGAGTAGCCCAAGAGTTGGCGGTGGGTGATGATGATTAGCTGCCTTCCCTGTTATCTTTCACTGCTAAATTAGGGACGGCAAGCGCAGATAGCCCTCGTGTAGCTTTGCGCGAAATTCAAAGAAACAAACAATTCCAAGCAGTGAAGATTATCACAGAAAGTGTCTTAAGAGTTAGTGGAAAAGATAGAACATTAAATAATAATAATATGTAACAATGCAAAGCCTTCTATGACACTTGGTTTTGGTGATATGCTTTTTTTTCTGAATAAGTTGTAAGCAGAACAGACTTTAATGAAGAACTATATTTTATGTATAGACCTGACCAAAGTTATATGTTTTTAAACAGTATCCAATGTATCTATCTAATATTTTACAAATCCTTAGTTTGGTTATTATTGGATTTTATTATGCTATTTGTAATTAACCATCATTTGCATTTTGTAAGTCCTGTATGGAGAATTATTTGAGGGTTCATGTTTTTTCTGGAGATAACTATTTACATATGAACACATTATCATTGGATATTCTAGATTTAATATCTTTCGAATCTCTTTACACAGACATGATACCAGAACCTGACTACAGTGATACAGAGGAAGACAAGGATCAAAAGATCTGTCAACCTTTGTCTCGACGTAGATCAAATAGTAGTACCCAATACAACAAAGAAGGTCTGGTTTTACCTAGAAAACTTTGTAATCCTTGTCTAGAATCATCCGAGAGAAAGAGTCTTCACAGAGAACTCCTCTTCAATCAGAGAATGTGAGCATTCCATATTTAAATTATACTTTGGTATTGAAGTTGTTCCACAACATAGCCTTAGTTTAGGGTTTATCACCCACAAAAGTATGTTAGTGAGCTGAATAGGTGAGTATGCAGTTCAAGTTTTAAATGCATTTTTTAAAACCAGTGAATGCTTCTTAAGGTTGGTATAAAATATATATATATTAGATTTCAATATAACCAGATAATAGGTAAAATTATCTATAAAGACATATGATAAACTTTCATCAGTAAACATATAGTTATCAGAGTTCAAATTGGGTTGCTTATCGTAAATCCATAAGGTTCTATAATATAAAGATTCCTCAGCATATGGTGAAGGACATATGTTAGTGTTAACTGAATTCCTGGTTTTTTAATGGTTCATTTCCAGAAGTTAATGTAGTTTACAGAAGAGACATGTTAAACACTTAAGTGTACAAACTGACCTGGCAGCTCAGTGGTGAACTTGGGGGTTTATAATGCTAAAATCTGGGGTTTAATCCCTGTGGCGGGCACATTGCAGATAACTAATTGTGCAGTTCTATGCTTAAATTGAACAGCTTAGCTTAGCTAAGAATATGGTTCAAGGCTCTGGACACTGGGGTTGTCAGAAATAAATTTCTCTTCACCCAACATGCAGGGGGGGGGGAGTTGAATGAGCAGACACGGAGAAACAGATACACAATTTTTGGATTAGGAGCTCATTTAAACAGCGTGTTAGATTAAAATCTGGTTGATGTTAAAGAAGAAATGAAAGATGAAAAGGCAGCAGCAAACAAGAACTGATAGGAAAACCATAGACGACCAGAGAGTAAGTATCTTCTTTTATTTATATATGACTGGAGAGAAGTGTACAAACAAACCCAGTGTACAAACAGAACAACTCTTATTTATAATTTTTGAGAGTAAAAAATTGAGAGAATCAAATGTACTTTTTATATGACTCAAAATGGAATGTAACTAAAGTTTAAAAATAAACTCATAGCTATATATCAAGTTAACACTTCCTTTTCAGCTAAAGGGCCACATTTATTAAGAATGGCTAACCATCAAAAGAAATATTTGAAATCATGACGATAATGGATTAAAACCATATAATAATTCTTCATTTTGCACAATATTATAATTATATTATGCTACAACAGTCTCTAACTTTAGAATCTGTAAATTAAAGACACTTTGGGGCATACTTTTCATGGAAAACATTTGTTTTACTGTTTACTTAAAAGAAACACACCAGCTATTGAATACAGTGCTTTCTAAACTAACTAACGTGGTCTCATCTTTAAGATATTAATCCCCTAAACAATATGAACATGTAAGACCAGAATTTCAACCAGGTCTCCAATTACTTGAGTTTCAATGTCAACTACATGCTCAAAAATAAAGATTCGGGAGTATGCTATACAATGCAGTAAAATAAAGTATTCAAACTGAATAAACTTACTTGAAATAATTAAGTTTTAACCCATACCATCTTTACTCTAGTAAGTAAGATGTATCAGAAGACAAGCTATATGTTTCTCTAACTTCAGATATTTAATGTGCTTCTGATCAAAGTTATTACTATTTGTGTGATTAAGTGATTTGTTTTTTCTCCTATAGAGGAAAGAATGTCCTAAACCAGAAAACAGAACTTCAGAAAGTCCTGGAAAAATTCAAAGACGAGCAAAAGAAAAAAAATATAGAAGAAGAAAAACAAAACAAACGTACTGCCCTAGAAAAGAAACTAGAACAACAAGCCAGTAGAATCAAAGAGGTAAAAGTTAATGCCTCCTAGAAGTAATTAAGCAAAGCAAGAGAGAATTTTTCACGTACAGTTAATGAAATGAGTTTTATTTTCAATGCAACAAATAAATAAATTATGATAATATCATTCCTTTCTGTTACAAACAATGAAGTTTAAATAAAAGTACACTAATGTGACTCTGCAAAGCACATACTTCAAAATTGTTTGACAACGAAATACTTATTTTATAAATTGATTTTGCAGTATGAAGACTTAAACGAAGAGAAACCAAAGAAGGATGAATCCGAATTTCTAAAGGTTCATGCTAAAGTTCGTGCACATACTCTTTCATAGAGTTGTATTTATGATTTTTTTCCGATGTAAATAGATATGAAAACTGGTCAATCATTAATGATGACGTATTTCAACTCAAATTACAGATTTGACTATTGAAGAATATGTTCTGACAGTCTGTGTTTGTACTCTTAAAACATTCCTTACGCAATGCTGGTACGACGGAAAAATTCAGTTGTTTTTTAGATGGTTCGCACAGATCAGAAAATCATTGAAAAAAACAGGAATTTGTAATCAAATTTTTCACTACTAGAAAATCAATGTGTTTATGTATGTTTTGTTTTAAATCATGAGGTCCTGTGAAGTCGTTGAAAGTCCAACCTTTATCACTCCCACGTCCTACGTTTTTATTGACGACAAGCATTGTGCTTATCTCAGTTTACAAAAACACGTCTTTAGAAAATGTTGCCCCTAAAATGGTTAATACGTTGACTTGGCAATATTAATCAGTAACAGGCTTTTGAACTATGTACCTCTGTTTACAAATGAACAGGTGTCACGTGACTATTGTTAGAATGATATTGTTAATGTAAAATAAGCTCAAGACTCATTTGAAGGAAATTGAAATCATAAACATGTTGATAGGGTAAAGAACATGAATGTTTCAGAATTTTACTAATTACATCTTAAGCATAAGCACTTCAAAAGTAATTAACGTATCTGGCCCAAGTTCTTCTTAAGCCTAAAATTCGTTAATAAACAGAAGGAAAAACGTAAATCTATAATAGAATGAGTATCACGAACATAATCGCTGTGCAATGAAAGCGTTAAATATTTGCCATTAAAGATAGCCTGTAAGCTTATACCTGATAAGGTCACCCGTTATTTCCAGTGATCGATGTAGGCCGGGATATATTGAGTGACGTTTTGGGCTTCCATTACTAAAGATTTCGGGGACAATCTTCTGCTTTTAAGGGAAAATCAGTACTAAAATATTCTCCTATTCCACATTTTGTACTTAAAGGCGTTTGATGATGGAATCCTTGGGTGGATGTAAAAAGATATGTTTGGTTCTTCCATTTGCCAGTTCAATTTTCAGCTTTTTTATCATTGATCATTGTTCTTTTGTATTTCCCTTTTTTACTCTGTTGATATCTTTATATACTATTTTGATTTTATCATTACAGTATTTCTGCATTTCATGGCTGTCTTTTTTGTACAACCCCAATTTTACTGTTATAATCCTTCTGCACATCTCAAATAGCTTCTTCGATTTTGTTTCAATTAAATTTATTTTTGTTCCTACTTCTTCTTTATATATTACACCTCTTTTTTTAACTCCTCTCTTAAATTTCTGTTTCTTACTACTTTTTTCTGCTTTGGATTTTCTTCCTCTTTCTTTCTGGTCTGCTTTTAATTTTTCTTTTCACAATTTCCTTGTTTCATCATCTCTAGTAAAGTTTAGATCTCATTTCGAGTATGTATTGTCATACTGAAGTTCAGTTTAGCTTCTAATTTATTTTTACCAAAATAATCCCACTCCTGACATAACTGTTGTAAGAACTTTTGTAGTAGAGTGGGCTCTCTTTCATTATTCGGTAAAAATAAAGTCCAATTCACTTAACAATAACTTGTTTGTTTGTTAAGCACAAAGTTATACAATGGGTTATCTGTGCTGTGCCCAGCACGGGTATTGAAACCCGGTTTTTAACGTTATATGCCTTCAGACTTACCATTGAGACACTGAGGGAGTGGAGGGGCTTAACGATAACAAAAGCAATTGTTTTTCTTCAACAGAAACTTAAAAGTTCTAGAGGCTACATGTTATTATCATAGACTGTACAAATCCTTTTTGCACCAGAGCATAGGTGGTGAAGAAAATAAGAAAATCAAATATTGTAGAATTAATGTTTGTCTATAATAAGATTAATTACAGTTGACAGATGTTTTTCTTTTTTATATTATTTGCAGAACTGGTAACTATTTTCTCTAGAAATATAAATTTGGAATTATTTCGAAGTTTTTCATGAGTTACATGTTTTGGTAGTGATTACTTATTAATAAGTATAAAAATATTAATAGTTATGTAAAATTGAGAGCTCTTCTTACGTGTAGTTTTTGTCTCTTTTAATAAACATTGATTTAGCTAAGAAACAGTGATGTTAATTATCATTATATTGAGTTGTCGATGATTACAGGAAACTTTAAAACAAAAAAATCATTGTAAGGCACATTTGATGTTATTTTTTGCTTTTCTATTTTAAACAGGCTTAATAAGGACAAAACATTAAATTGGTTATATGCCTATTAAGCAAATAAGTTTACGCTTGCACCCTATTACAAAAACGTTTTGCAATTTTTGGTTCTAACTGCCTAATACATTATACTATATTTTGATTTAAATTTCTAAACTAAGTGATTCTTTAGCTTTAAAAAATTAACAAAAAACTAGACCTAACAAGAAAATACTTTTTTTTTTACTCTGCCAAATACTGCAGTAGTTTTTCCTTAAATGTATTCATTTCAGATTAAAGTAAATGCATCAGGAAACATAACAACCTAATAAGTTAAGAATAAAAGTTAAAAAAAATTTCCCCATACTATTGGATCCACTTTTTTCAAAACTAATGCAGTATTTGACTGTTTTAGCTTTAAAACAGTGAATAAGTAAGAAAAGAGAAGTGAATTGTATGTGCATGTACTACGTACTTGGCTATAATGTCACAGATAACTTTTCCTTTTATAGATTTTATACTGTGATAACAACAGTGTGTGTGTTTTATGATTTAAAGTTGTATAAATTTAGAAGATTTTAAATGTAATATGTTTACTATTTCTCTTCTAAGTAAATAAATAATAACGGTATTTGCTGGTGTATAAGTGTCAGAAACTAAGTTATGTTGGTCACTTGTCAATTAAAGGCTTTTATTTATACTTCTTAATAGTATAAATATATGTTGTGTTGCTGTTGGTCTTAGGATTCTTCTACAGTAGGTGTCTGTGACTTGTTGGCGATAAATTCCACAATAAATGAACAGCACTCACTCTACTTGTTTTCAAAATAATATATATTCGGAACAAGTTAAACGTATGTACAACAAATTATTTACACAATAGAGATCATAGGGATATCATAAACACTATATATTTCTCTTCTTGTTGTCAAAAGTCCACTTAGGCCTATTTAATTACTTTAGAATTTCAGTTGACAATCCGAACTATCTTCTCTATTACTACCGCACTAGTATTCGGTGTACAATTCACTTACAATTGTAGCGTGAGTTACCACAGTCGTAGACTTCTCTTCCAGTAATCGTCTGGTTCTCGTACTTCAGATTTCGTCTGTTCCTTTTTGTCAAAGTGCACTCAAGTTGTATCAATTATTTTAGAACCACATTTTGACGGAATAAATTATTATTCTTATCTCCTTTTCTGCTATTAATCCTACTGTAACATATTAAACGTTAGGCCTATTACTTCTACAGCAGTTAACTTTACGTTTAACTTCCCTTGGCCGAACTTCTACATTCCGTGACTTTACTTTCTCGTCTGCTCTGTCTGTCTGCTGTTCTCGCTTGTCTCACACTATTTATATATTTATCACTTAATAGTATGCTCGCCTTCTAGAAATCTCTATATTCTCAACATCGATAAATTTCACGCGACGTAGATAGCTTCAACATCAACGAATTATAAACACAACTTCCAATAATCGTCTGCTTTTAACTCTCTTATTATAAAAACAACTAAACAATCATTAAATATTAACTCACAAAATAATTAATTAATACTATCTACGCTAAACAGTCTTTTATATCATGACAATAAGATAATACTTTTTACTCTTAAAACAATGCCTGATTTCACCTCTGGTCAGATTCAAAGATAGAGTTCCAGTAAGAACTCTCAAGTTAATAGCATATTTAACCAAGACTATGTTACTCTTTTTACTTTTTTGAGTAAATGCGTTGAAATCGTGCCACCTACTGCTTTACAAAAACATATTTGTAACGGTATCATTTGTCTCGATTCTTCATAACTAGAAGTTATTTATCTCACATGCTAGTTACAATTAATGAAGACTTTTTTTTATTTGAAATGTATTGATCTCGTCCGTCATACTAAAATATTGCTAATATTATATCAAAAAAGTTAGTTTTTCTAACGTACACTAATTTTGTAAACATGTTTTTATAGTAGATCACTATATCTTAAGGTTTAGTATTTTTAGCAGCGCCACAGCGGCTCATAAAATGGCTCCGAGTTTGTTTGTTTTTTTCAAGTACAAACTTTCAGCTCATAGCTTTATCTCTTAACCAATTTGATATCTAATTACAGCCGCGGCTATTGAGGATTCCCTCTTGTTTTGTAATAGAAAGGAGTTCAACTGTAATGAAAATTTTGTAAAGTGTTTTATTACATGTTTGTGACTTAAGTTATGCCGCAATGAGTTGTCTGTAGTATTTGAAGAGTATAAAAAACCACTTATGGTTGTATTGATTACCCCAGAGAGTAGGTTAGCACAGTTTAAAAATAACTTCTAAGACTTTCTTTACAAAAGTAACATCTTAGACTTGCTTAACAATAGAGGTCGTCCTATACACCAAACCTCAAAGAACTACACTTAATTTGCTCAAAAAATCCTGGGTCGCCTTATACACGGGATCGTCTTACACACTATCAAATATGGTAGCACAATTAAGAATACCATTTTTAAATTAGTTTCTTTTTTCTAACTGAACTATGACTAACTTATTTTGAAACCTATCTTTTAAATTCTTATCAAAATACTTATTTTGACCCAGAGTTACTGATGTACATCCAATTTTTAAACATCTTTATTAACTATTTATGCACTAAATTACTTGTTGGCAATGAATTTTTTGGTTAGTTTCACTATACAAGTAACACAGAACATTGTAAACAAAAAATATAAAAATACCATCAATATTGCAACAAATTTTAGTCACTCTATAAGTACTGTAATAAGCAAAAAACATAACATTACTGAATGCACTGCAATATTTGGACACAATTGGTAAAAACAATTTGATAATTTGAGGATTAAAATGTTTGTTTTACTATCATTGGAATTCATTTTTGGAAAACATTTTTTTCAGTATTTTCTCAATTAAGTTTTAACAGCATGAATTAATGATATTCTACGTAAAATTTGCTGAAAAAATGAAATTTTAATATTAGAAAAGTGTTGATGCACATCTTGTAACTCATAAATTAAAATTATATTTTTGGTATATCCCTGTAAATAATGCACTTCATTCCTTTTTGATAAAGAAATATTTTTTTTTCAAAATTGCATTCTAATTACTATTATATTAGAATATAATGCAAACATAGTTTGCAGACCTCAAGTTCACATGAGAATTTTGTTTTTTAAGCGGTACTTTGTTTATCCAATCAATGTTATGTGATTAGATGGTATTATTTACCTTGTGCCTTTTTGTGGTAAATAATTAGCATTGTAGAAGTAAGACTTACTCCAACTAAGGTTTACCCAGTGTTTAAATCAAACACACCACATTTAAGAAGATTTTAGTATTGTAAGCTTGATCTTAAATACTCCTTCTATAAAAGTTTTCCATTATTTCTTACAAAGTGCGATGTCTCATAGGTGCCTATACATAGGGAAAAAAAGGAGCACATGCTCTCCTCCCACATTTTCTAGATAGTGTATAGGCACTATGATTAACAACTATGTTAGATTGACTTAGCTCCCCCCCCACTTTCCAACAAAGGCACTCTTGCAATGTTTCCATTGAAAGATATGTTGAACAGCATAACTGTATTTAAAAAAAATCTATTTATAGCCTCACGAACATTTTTTGTGTGGTATTCCACGACTTATCTTGCATGACAGCTGCTAAGTGCCCCACCAACTGAGCTAGAAGGTTAATCATTAGTAAGGGACTTTAACAACTCATGCTAGGACACTTGAAAATTTAGTTTACATAGTACATGTGTTTCCAATGATTACTTAAGATTAATATAACTTTCCATCATATCTTATGCCTATACATATGTGACTTTCCTCATGTAATATTTTCTGTTAACATGTTTGTCTTGTAGTTTGTGGGTTATTTGGAGAAAAAAAAAAGAGTTGAATAAAAAAGTCAATTTTTTCTTTGTAAACAGTGACATATAATTATTCTTCTTCCCAAGGAAAAAATTAAGTATTATTTTTGTGTTGATAATAAAAAAGATCAAAATGTAATATAACATTAAAAAACACAAAACAATGTGTACAGGTGATATTTAATTGTATAAATATTGAGATATAATTGAAATAAAAATTACATTTTAAGAAAACATGCCTTTTTTTTGTAGTCAATTATGGGATATAACTGAATTGCATATCTTCTTTGTATGAAAGGTTAAACTGCAAAATACAAACATCCACAAATTTACTAAAACAAATAATCTAAATATGAAAAAATAATGAGGTCAATAGCCATATTTTGAGGAGTTACCTCATATCATAAAATACATTTACACTAATGTTTCTCACTAGTACATGTAACATTGTATATACTTCTTCATAAAATATGTTTTGGATAGAGTTGCTTATGACTAAGAAGAGAAAGAATTGCTTGATTTTAATAAATTACCAATCTCACATATCCATAAAGTTTTATATTTCTCCTTGAATGTTTTAATTGAAACTGCAGTTAATAATGTACTTCCTTCATGTAATCCCATACAGAAATCTATAGAGAAACTATTCCATAACAGATCAGTAGCTATAGCTAAGAATGTACACTTGTTTTCACATTTTTGTAACTCATCATGTGAAAAAATGCTTAAAGTTTTAACCAGTCCTACCAAATAGCTGGATTGTTAATTTAGAGTATTTCTTGAGTTTAGGTAAGCACCATCAAGTCATTATATTCTTTGAGATATCTATTTGACACAAGTAAAATTTCTTGATTTCAGAAAACATACCTAAAAGGAAGAAATATCTAAAATTATGTT